GACTGGCTGCATCACCGCTTGCTATGGCAACTGCTCGGCATCAGATCCGCAAGGCGCTACAGAGGGTAGTGCATACAGCCCAGTACATCATTGGGCCGAGCTACCCTGTCATCCAGGACCTCTATGCCAGGCGGTGTCAGAGGAAGGCCCTAACAATTGTCAAAGACTCCTGCCACCCAAGTCACAGTCTGTTCTCTCTGCTACCGTGCGGCAAGCAGTACTGGAGGGCCAAGTCGGGGACCAAAAGGCTCCTGAACAGCTTCTACTGCAAAGCCATAAGACTACTGAACAGTTAATCAAATGGCTACCCAGACTTTCTGCTTTTCACCCCCTTTTCACCCCTACCTACATGTACATAGTACTTCAATCAATCACCTAACCAAACCTACAATCACCCCAACTACCTCGTACCCCAGTACACTGACTTGGTCCCGGTACTCCTTGTATATAGCCTGTACATAGCCTTCGTTATTGTTATTTTATTGTGTTATTTTATTGTGTTACTATTATCTTTATCTATTTGCTAATATTCATACTTTTTAACTGCATTGTTGGGAAAGGGCTCGTAAGTAAACATTTCACTGTAAAGTCTACACTGGTTGTATTCGGCGCATGTGACATATACAATTTGATTTGATTTGATACTCTGGTTATGATCCAATCATTGATTATTTTGTTTAGTACAACACCCTTCACCACAAACGACTTCAACGATGGCAGTCTCAGACTTGAGTATGTAACGAACATAGAGCAGCAGAAGAATTCAGTTTGAGTAGTCAGGCAAGGGAAATGGTGCATTTCTGGATATAAATAAATTAGGATTGTGATTGGGGAGGGGATTGAAATTGAAGGAAGATGCCTGGAATAGGCCAAAAGGGGGTTGTAGTCAGAGAAGTGATAGAGGTCAGTGTTAGGATGTTTGAGGTACACGTTGATTGGAGGCCTGGTTGTCAAGAGATGGGGGAAAGAGAGGCATTGGGGCAATGTGCACAGTAGTGTAAGCAGGGTATGTATAACTGGACCTCAAGGGGTGAGAATATAATGTGGTCATATCAATCTTAATTATTTTCGTCAAAATGTAATGTTTCATGCTTTTTATGAAAGTCTGTCCAAATACATTTCTGCCGCCACCAACAATGCTATGCCTATTGGCCATACATCAAATCCACAAAGCCTACAGTAATTTGATATGATAATGATGGGTACACCAAAATTATCGACACCGACCATACTGATCACTTGTCGCAGGCATTTTGCTGATATCATTCATTACGATATGTATCATATACTAGAGAAATTTGAAGTTCGAAATAAAATAGGTTTGCTAAAATTGGTGATTATTAATGGGACAATTAATTGATGGCTACAACCATCAAAATAGTAATTGTAGTTTAAAAGATAATTTTAAAAATAATAATTGAAAACTGAGGTGCACATTAATGTTATACACTTATCTTTCTATGTATCATTATCGCATCAATTCATACAATTCATTGCGATATGGATTTTTGTCAATATCGCCCAGCTCTAGACTCCATAACATAACTACACAGTGAAATATGAGTATTTTCCCTTCACAGACCAGCCAGGATCTTGGTCCCTCGTGTTAATTCGCTGCTCTAGAACTAAAACCTCTCTCACTCTTTTTTGTTGGCCTGCTTTAGTCCATAATGCAGCTATCATCCGCAGGGGTACTTCCATTTATTGGATTATATATTATTGTTATTTGTGCATTCATTCAATATAACTCTGTGTCTTTATGATGAAAATGTCAATTTTCACTTTGTTAATTCGGTAAGCTTTTTCAGTTTAGCGCACCGTTGCGATCCCCCTTTCCCCTTGAGCGGCTGGTGTACTGCGTTGCATGCTGGTACCTGCAGTCCTTACTCCTCCCACTGCATGATTTGTATCGTTTGGGCGTGGGTAGCCAAACACTACAAGTCCCAGACTATCAGTCCACCTTCTTGCCTCTCTCCCACCAGACCGTAGACCGAGATACTGTACGGACTGTCTTGACGAACCCCCCCTGACTTTCAGAACCGAAAACCGTCGAGATTAGTGAACAGCAACCGACAAGAACGGAAGACTTGATTCTCGCTGGAGCCGTGACACATACTGTTAATTTATACCCTGGGCGAACGGGTTTGTAATTGTTTGTGCCATTTGACATCGTTATCTTGCTTGCTAATTACCTTTCGAATTATTCAGTATCAGGGACGAGAAGACTCGGTTCGGGTCGGACTCTTGCATGTCTTTGAACACAGAAGCGGTTCGGTAAGGGCTGATGAAAGAGTCAAATCAACATTTTGTGTCGCACGGCTGGAGATAAATACAGTAGCCTGTCTAAACATGCTTAGCACTGTGTAATGCAGACCAATACTGGCTTTGCGGAGACTTTGCTGCGCAGGGATCTGAAAATTGTTCGTGGTATTTTGAACATGAGTTACGTTTTGTTTTCCTTATTGTGTATGGTGCACGTTACAGTAGCCAACTACAAGTTATTTGTAAATTGTTGCCCTACCCTCTGTTAGTTCTGAAATACTTTTCATACGAAAATGAGCTTAGGAAACAGTTAAAGTGTAATATATCCCTCATACAATCAATATTAGTCTATGCAATACAGTCCAACGTTATATCATTTCATCGTTTCTTCAGTCATGTTATTTATCAGTAAAATACGTCATGGACAGTAACTCGTGGTTTATGGATTGATTAAATAATATAGTCATTGGAGTTTGGAATGTTTATTCCGCGATATTTGGTTGTTGATTTATGTTGGCTTCATTATGTGACGGTTGTTGGGCACATAATGCATGTATCGTGCAAGTGCGGATGGACGATGTAAGTATTTGATAGGGCAAAGGAAATTCTCGTGTCAGTCGTTTCGTTCTAGATATTGGAAATGGATGCATTGTAGGCTATTGTGCTGGGTGCTATCGCATCATTCTCGCTTCAAAAATCAAGGGTAAATTTGGTTCCATTTTGATCATGTGTAGTCTGTCTTGGACATACTGATCACCTGAGAGGCAATAGTATCGTCCTTACCGATTATCATACTACTGCTCGCTAGCTCTATGGGCAAGTGGGATGCCCGGAGTTTTAGCATGAATATGTTGGTTTTATAGAGATTAAACCAATTTCTCAATTAGTTGAAATAGTGGAATAAAACGACCCCGCTCGTCGACTATTTTCTGCATTTTCAAATGCTTAGATTTGACACTCGGATGCGTCTCTTTTGTGCATGTGTGCTCCGGGCTGCGCAGTCAGTTGACCAGGCGGACAAGTCATCTCGAGTCAGAGGGAGATCAAGTCATCTCGAGTCAGAGGGAGATTATTGTATTCTTATTTAGACGTAGCCGAATGACTCTATGGGATAACCACGTCATTATAGTTGGGACTGGTGTGACTTTGTTTTGCCAGCATGGTGTGCAAACTGACAGCATGAGAAATTAAAACCAAAATATGTTTCTCAAATACATCCTAGCGTTCCAATGGGCTACTCATCGGAGGAGACGGCGTATCTGCAGCACAAAGACAAACTAGCAGTATAAGCAAGTAGCAACATGAGGTTATGCGATAATGAATGCAAACGCCTCTCATATTCAGTTATAGATGCTTGCAACTATATTCAGCCCATGTTTAACGATTTCAGCGGAGAGATGCAGCCTACCTGGGCTGTCACTCACGTTTTCCGGTACGGGTATGTTTCGCCAACTACAATGATCTCAACACCCGGTACATTCCTCTGATATTTGCTGGGGGATAGTTATACCGGACCCATTTGTAGTCATCCCATTTATTGTAGGGTGGGGTGGCTGCCTCACCTTTCCTCGTAGGGTGTGTTGACGTGTGTAGGGTGGATGTCTGAAAGCTTTTAAATTATTGCTTTCGGTCAGATATATTCATGAAGTTGCCATTCTTTAGGAATAACGTTACTGGAAGATTCAAATTATTGTGCATGCATATGATACTTAGTCTCCTGGCCTGTCTGTATGAAAGTATGAACATTTATGCACTCACTAACTGTATGTCGCTCTGGATAAGAGCGTCTGCTAAATGACTTAAATGTCTGTCTGATTACATGTCACTGCTAATTGCTCTCTTTGCTTTGGAATTTGGGCATCATGGTCAAGGGCTCAAGGCGAAGGGAAACAGAAGCTAGATTTGTATTTTGAGGCTTCTTTACTCCCGGTGCTTTGAGATATACCAACTTTAGAATTCATTCTTGAATAATAGAGTATATGTAGTTAAGATTAAGAATTTGAATTACATTATATGGCATCATCTCTCAGGTTCTCCTTGCCCCTCAGATTGATCTCTAACATGAGCTGGAAATGAGCTGAGGGTTAAGGCCGCATGAATGAGTTTGGTAGAGAGGGAGTTCAGAATGATGTATCATTAAGGGTGGTGAGGAAACCATTACCATGCCTACCATGTTTCTACATCTCTCCGTGGTCTCAGCCAGTCCACTCTGCTGCAGCGTGCATGGCTTGGTCAGCACTGACCACGTCCATCCATGCAACAGTAAAGGAGAACTGTGAGAGAGGTCATAAAATATGGTTTCCATCTATCAAGCAATATGTGACAATTTCCCTTGGTGAAAAGGGAAAAAGCATAAACTCCTATGTTAGTATCATTATGTCCATGCAAATAGGCCTACTCATAGTTAAATTACAAAATATACATATAGAGTAAGTGAAAGTTATTGGCAAATATGCCTTGTACCAATATTGGATATTTCTTGATAATATGAATATAACATAACAAAGAAAAAACAATATAAAATATAAAGTAATATAATGTCAATGTTTTACTTCAACAATCAATTTACCTTCCTGGATCTTGTCACTGAGGACAGTGTGACGTCTCGCGTCATCAAGCTTCTCTTACACACAGAAAACGATCAAACAATTTCTCAATAAAAAACGTTTAAAAATCACTAAACGATTATGTTTATCCTAAATGTGCCAACTTAACATGAATTAATGCTACTTTTAGGAATGTATAGTAGCGTTAGCAGTAGGCTGGCTAATCGGTTCTGTAACACGACAAGGTGACTGATATTTTGCTAACCTCATCTATGGCAAGACTCATGACCTAAGAAGGAGGCATTTGACCAGTTTCGGGTGTATTGAGCCAATGTCAGAGTGAGCAATGTCAGAGTCCGGAATACATATATATAGACACTATATATAGAAATGTATGTGGACACCCCTTCAAATTAGTGGATTCGGCTATTTCAGCCACACCCGTTGCTGACAGGTATATAAAATCCAGCACACAGCCATGCAAACATTGGCAGTAGAATGGCCTTACTGAAGAGCTCAGTGACTTTCAATGTGGCACCTTCATAGGATGCCACCTTTCTAACAAGTCAGTTCGTAAAATATCTGCCCTGCTAGAGCTGCCCCTGGTCAACTGTAAATGCTGTTATTGTGAAGTGGAAACGTCTAGGAGCAACAACGGTTCAGCCGTGAAGTGGTAGGCCACACAAGCTCACAGAAGGGGACTGCCCAGTGCTGAAGCACGTAGTGTGTAAAAAATCGTCTGTCCTCGGTTGCAACACTCAGTACCGAGTTCCAAACTGCCTCTGGAAGCAACGTCAGCACAATAACTGTTAGTCTGGAGCTTCATGAAATGGGTTTCCATGGCTGAGCAGCCGCACATAAGCCCAAGATCACCATGCCAATGCCAAGCATCGGCTGGAGTGGTGTAAAGCTCGCCGCCATTGGACTCTGGAGCAGTGAAAACGCGTTCTCTGGAGTGATGAATGTCCGATGGACGAATCTGGATTTGGAGGACGCCAGGAGAACGCTACCTGCCCCAATGCATAGTGCCAACTGTAAAGTTTGGTGGAGGAGAAATAACGGTCTGGGGCTGTTTTTCATGGTTCGGGCTAGGCCCCTTAGTTCCAGTGAAGGGAAATCTTAACGCTACAGCAATACAATGACATTCTAGACGATTCTGTGCATCCAACTTTGTGTCAACAGTTTGGGGAAGGCCCTTACCTGTTTCAGCATGACAATGCCCCCGTGCACAAAGCAAGGTCCATACAGAAATGGTTTGTCGAGATCGGTGTGGAAGAACTTGACTGGCCTGCACAGAGCCCTGACCTCAACCCCAACGAACACCTTTGGGCTTTGGGATGAATTGGAACGCCGACTGCGAGCCAGGCCTAATCGCCCAACATCAGTGCCCAACCTCACTAATGCTCTTCTGGCTGAATGGAAGCAAGTCCCCGCAGCAATGTTCCAAAATCTAGTGGAAATACTTTCCAGAAGAGTGGAGGCTGTTATAGCAGCAAAGGGGGGGACCAACTCCATATTAATGCCCATGATTTTGGAACGAGATGTTCGACAAGCAGGTGTCCACATACTTTAGGTAATGTAGTGTATGTATGTATGTATGTATGTATCATAAGTTGAATGCACCAATTTGTAAGTCGCTCTGGATAAGAGCGTCTGCTAAATGATGTAAATTAAATGTATGTATGTATGTATGTATGTACACTACCAGTCAAAATTGACACACCTACTCATTCAGTAAGGTTTTTCTTTATTTTTAAAATGTTTTACATTGTAGAATAATAGTGAAGACATCAAAACAATGAAATAACACATATGGAATCATGTAGTAACCAAAAAACTGTTAAACAAATCAAAATATATTTTATATTTGAGATTCTTCAAATAGCCACCCTTTGCCTTGATGACAGCTTTGCACTCTCTTGGCATTCTCTCAACCAGCTTCATGAGGTAGTCACCTGGAATGCATTTCAATTAACATGTGTGCCTTTTTAATTTATTTCCTTCTTGCGTTTGAGCCAATCAGTTGTGTTGTGACAAGGTAGGGGGGTATACAGAAGACAGCCCTATTTGGTAAAAGACCAAGTCCATATTATGGCAAGAACTGCTCAAATAAGCAGCAAACAGAAACGACAGTCCATCATTACTTTAAGACATGAAGGTCAGTCAATACGGAACATTTCAAGAACTTTGAAAGTTTCTTCAAGTGCAGTCGCAAAAACCATCAAGCGCTATGATGAAACTGGCTCTCATGAGGACCGCCACAGGAAAGGAAGACCCAGAGTTACCTCTGCTGCAGAGGACACATTCATTAGAGTTACCAGCCTCAGAAATTGCAGCCCAAATAAATGCTTCACAGAGTTCAAGTAACAGACACATCTCAACATCAATTGTTCAGAGGAGACTGCGTGAATCAGGCCTTCATGGTTGAATTGCTGCAAAGAAACCACTACTAAAGGACACCAATAAGAAGAAGAGACCTGCTTGGGCCAAGAAACATGAGCAATGGACATTAGACCGGTGGAAATCTGTCCCTTAGTCTGATGAGTCCAAATTTGAGATTTTTGGTTCCAACCGCCGTGTCTTTGTGAGACGCGGTGTGGGTGAACGGACGATCTCCGCATGTGTAGTGCTTTGCTGGTGACACTGTCTGTGATTTATTTAGAATTCAAGGCACACTTAACCAGCATGACTACCACAGCATTCTGCAGCGATACGCCATCCCATCTGGTTTGGGCTTAGTGGGACTATCATTTGTTTTTCAACAGGACATTGACCCAACACACCTCCAGGCTGTGTAAGGGCTATTTCACCAAGAAGGAGAATGATTGATTGAGTGCTGCATTAGATGACCTGGCCTCCACAATCCCCCGACCTTAACCCAATTGAGATTGTTTTGGATGATTTGGACAGCAGAGTGTAGGAAATGCAGCCAACAAGTGCTCATCATATGTGGGAACTTCTTCAAGACTGTTGGAAAAGCATTCCAGGTGAAGCTGGTTGAGAGAATGCCAAGAGTGTGCAAGCTGTCATCAAGGCAAAGGGTGGCTATTTGAAGAATCTCAAATATAAAATATATTTTGATTTGTTTAACACTTTTTTGGTTACTACATGATTCCATAAGTGTTATTTCATTGTTTTGATGTCTTCACTATTATTCTACAATGCAGAAAATAGTACATATAAAGAAAAACCCTTGAATGAGTAGGTGTGTCCAAACTTTTGACTGGTACTGTATGTCTGTATGTATGTATGAACAGTGTGTATGTGTGTGTATATAATTTGGATTTGATTTATTAGGATCTCTATTAGCTGACGCCAATGGCAACAGCTTATCTTACTGGGGTCCGACATATAACAAAGAAGACATTACAGACAAAATACTGTACAATTTACAAACATTAACATGTAGTGTAATGGTGTGTATAGACAGTATATGAATAGGAAAGGTGAGTACAGCAGTAATTATATAGAATGAGCCTTGACTACAATACAGTATATACATATGAAGTGGGTAAAACAGTATGTAAACATTATTAAAATGACCAGTGTTCAATGACTATGTACATAGGGCAGCAGTCTCAAAGGTGCAGAGGTAGAGTACCGGGTTGTAGCCGGCTGGTAAAAGTGGAAATAATAAATGCAATATATGTGCAATTGTCTCTTTTTTAGAACAACTGTGTTTTTCAGAACATTTTACATTATCGAAAAAGTAAATGCAGTCAGAACTTTGTTTTATGTTAAAGATCATACTAAGTCTTCTATCTGTTTATTCAACAGCATAGCGTCCTATACAGAGGAAGACCCCATTGCTGCAGACCTGAGGTCAGGTACACCTAAAGAATGCTGTGTTAAAGAAACACATATGCAGGTAATTTTTGTGCCTGAACACTGACTGAGTGAACTGTCAGCTTCACAGATGATGCTATGGTGCTTTACCTGGGAGATATTTACATGAGCAGTGAACATAGGCTTAATGTAACTTTTTCTTGTTATCTAGGTGGATCCCACTCCAATGAATGTAGGGGATGGAGGCACAGTGAGCAGAGAGATCGGTGCTCCGATTAAAGCATTTGCGAGCATGGTGGGGAATCCCTCTCAGACGCTGCCCCCGAAGCTCAGAGGAGATGTGTCCCTCAGTCAGCAAAACAAGACCACCACAGCAACAGACTGTAAAATGCCGGTCAACGTCTGTTCAGACCCTAGCAACTTCAACCATTGCCCAGTGGTCTCTCCCCCTCAAGAACACAACAATGCTCCAACGTCAGGCCTTCCCCTCATTAGCTCTGACAAGAGAACAGACAAGAGGTCAGAGGTCCCCAAACCCAAGGCTGATGGTCCTGGGGTCTTTCCCACACATCAGTGGCCGTGTGGTACAAAGAACAGACCTGAGGACCCAGTTAACCCAAGCCACAGTAGTGTGACGTCCAATAAGAAACCACATACTCAGACCCAGTCAGTGATTAGTCTTCCCGCTGGGTTTCAATGCTCAACTCTGTTTAAACCAGGCCAGCCTGTTACTTTTCTTCCCTCCACTAACTTTTCATCTCCACTCTGCAAAATCACTCTTCCACCCGCATTGGGTCAGATCGCAGCATTGAGAGAAGCCACAGCCAGCCAGTTTCAGAAGGGGAGTCAACCACAAAGCGCAGATGCTGGTGTGGCACCACTGCTGCAGACTTATCCATATCACTTCTCAGTGGGTCGATGTCCAGCACCTCAAAAGAAAACACCCAACTCAACACCCAAACTCAAATGTAACTCGACGTCCAGTAGCAAGAGCTCCAAAGCTGGAAGGGAGCATAAATCCACCATTGCCTCAGTGGTGGCCTCTCCCACTATCGCGCTCCCAATACAGCACCCAGCATTAGGCTCTGCCCCTACCAACCCGCTTCACGTTGTCTCCCTCTGCTGCCATCTGCTGTGGCCCTGCACTGGCCAGCATCACCACTCAGGGCAGGCTGCTGAACCATGTGGAGAAAGACCTTACGCACCGCAGTTCAGACAAGACATCCGTAGGCTTTCTAAAACTGAAGGCTCCATCTGCTGCTGAGGACCATGCGGTTGCTTGCCCGACTGAAGCAAGGGACGTGCCCCTCGACCTGTCCGCCAAGTCGAAGCGTCCAAAAACGGTCAAAGACCCTCCAAACACGGTTGCCACCACAGAGCATCTCCTTAATGAGGCACGTCAGAAAGTTGCCCTCCATCCAAAGAGGCCCCATACTGCCACGTATGGCTCTGCCGCACCATACCCCATCCTACCCAACACCCACCGAAATGGGGCTCTAAAGCAGACCAGTAGGCCCCTAACTCATCACGGTTTGGAAACCAACTCATCCTGGGTCAAAGGTTCCTCTCAAGGCCCCATTAATAACCTCCCAGGAACCTATGTAGGTGTGGCCAGCCCCATACTTGCTTCCACCCTGCGTAGCAAAGATGGGAAGGGGTCCTTTGAGGATGAGTTCCAGACTTTTGCTAGACAGGAGACTATCTCTATCATTGACCAAGGGGAACACCTGGCCTCAAGGGGAAAGAAGGCATCTTTCATGGCGAAGGGAAACCAGCACGTATATGGTATCAAGCACCCTAACAGTACCAGCCCAGCTGTAACACAAAGCTGTCCCTCTAAGGGGGCTTTTGCCACAGCTCTGCCCGGCTCTGCCAACTCACACTCTCATCAGAAATCTGGAAGTGTCAAAGCAGCAATCCCATACTCCCTCACTGTCCTCAAGCCGTTATGGCAGCGACCAGCACTTCTTCCTCACCAAGGTGCTTCTGTTCAGAGAAAGGTAATTCAAGGGACTCCCAAGGTCAAGAGGGACACAGGTTCAGATGGTCCCACATTTCAGAGTGCCCATCAAAGCCAGTCCAGAATGGAAGCCGAAAAGTGGGACAGAACCAAGTCCCCCCTGTCCAACCTTGAGTCCATAGTGAAGCAGAAAGCTCTAGAGACCACTGCATTGACCGGTGAGGGATACTGCCATCTATCACCTGTGGCATGCAGAAAGCCTGAAGTGGTGAGATCCCACACTATGGGCCAGGACACATTGTTACATCAGACTGCTGCTTTTGGATGCCCACCTATCAGATCTGTGGAGAACAAAGAGACACTTTCCTTTCAAGGGGATTCCACACAAGTTATGAACAAACTTGAGAAAACAAGTGTCTCTGAGTCCAAAGAAAAGAGCACTGAGAAACATGTTAAACTGGGGGAGCAGGCAGGTGTCAAAGAGATACAGGTCTCTGCAAACAGCACCAGCCACACCCATGCCATTGGAAGCAGTGGTTCAGCTAACAGAAACAGGATGGACAGCAAATTGGCCAAGGAGTTGGAGGGAGGAACGGTGAAGGAGGAGAGTACGGCCCCTGCTGGTCTCGCTCCCCGTGCTAAATTGGAGGGGATTGCCCTATCCATCCTCACTGGCCAGTGTGCAGGGGTAGCTGAGGTGGAGAAGAAGACGAATGGAACTAAAGAGGAGTCCCCCACCAAAGCTACAGCTGCCTTCACCAAACAGAAGAAGCCCCCTAGTCCAAGGAAGCCAGCAAAGGAGAAGGCATCACCGGACCATTCAAAGAAGGCTGCTGCGCCAGTGAAGAAAAAGCAAGACCAGGAAACCACTCCAGTTAAGAAAGAACCAAGTCCCAAAAAGGTGCGTTGTTATTCTGCTGTTGTCATATTTAGAATTCCATTTAGATGAGTTGCTTTATGTGTTGTGCACAATGGCATTATTCGCTTTTGTTGGTTGAACAAAGAAAGAAAAATACTACATTCACACACTTGACTCTTGTCTGCATTTATAACGAAGCATAATGAAAAATATGTGAAATATCAACCACCCATCAAAACATACCTGTCTGTATTATTGCATTATGATTCAAGTATACTGTTTCTCCGTATGCTCTCCATCACCATCAAAGCTTTATGATCAATTACCTGAATGGCCCATTTAGTGCTCTCACTCTGTCCCTTGTGTGTTGCCACAAAAGAAACCATGTGCACCTGTACTGGAGCACAGTCTGTCGCTGGCGGAACCATCCCCACACAGGGAGGGGGGGGAGAACACTCGCAGGGAGAAGAGCAGCCCCACTGATAACAAGCAGGCTGCTCACAACAAACCAGGTAGGTCTGTCTCTTATGATAGTCTAGAATAGAACTCCACATACTACGTCAGCCATCTAATCAGAAATCCTTCATTATGATTCCTCTGTCCACTTTGTTTTTGAGTGAGTCTGTTTTTGACGTGGGTTCCACAGGTAGCGGGAGCAGTCCTCTCCCCAGTCCCCAGAGATGTGAGACTCCAGTCTCCCTCAGCAGCCCTGGCAGACCCAGTAAGGAGCCAGTGTCCTCAGAGAGCTCCACCCCCAGGCTGAGGAGGGGCCGACGGAGGGCTGATGAGGCTCGGCTGGACGACTGGGGCTTCGCTACTCCCTCTCCTCCACCTCCCCCAACTCCTCCTCCCCCCCCTATATACCCTCCCCCCCAGCCTGCCCGCCGGCCCAGGGGCAGACCGCGCACCAACCCCCTGCCTGAGAAGGCTGACCAGTGCAAGGCCAGGCCCGCCCCCAGCACTGAGGGAGACACCCTGAAACGCAAGAAACGGAACCGCTGCCGGAACAGGAAGTACCAGAATGGGGAGTATATCACGGCGAAGGACAAGGATGGAGAGGGGGAGGAGAGATCTGTCCCCACCAGGCAGGGCACTCGATCTGGATCAGGTACTGTTCACCTGGAAATTAAAATTAAAAGACAGTGCAGTTGAAGGTTTGTTTGGATGTGGTGCTTACACAGTGCAAAGTTGGGTAGAGTTGAATGACTGAATATAACTGTATACAGTATAACTGATTTTGAATGCAGTAGCTTCCCTCTATTTGTAGTTTATTATGTGAAAACATCCATATATGTGCCATTAATCCACCCTTTATTTTGGATGGCACACTTCAGCAGAGATGGAAGGCATGTTTACTGTGATAGGGCTAGCCTCATTGTTTTCGCCTCTAGCTGCCATCCACTACCAAACGTGTGAAGATTATACAAGAAGTCTTCCCAAACAAATCTTGTAGCTTCATATGAGCTTGTCTGTACACAGCTGGTGTTCCTCACCAGCATGAGAACACAACAACATTTAAATAACACCCAACACACTGCTTATAACCGTTGAGTAAATATTTTCTGTGTTGCGCTAGATTTGAGGACTGGCATGTACCCACGCCTCAGTGCCACTCTGACCTGCCGTGGCACCAGCCCAGAGCCTGGTCACAGAAGGCCATCGTTCACCCGCTCAGGGTCAGTGCGGCGCCCAGAGAGAGGGGCCTCCCCAGAGCCCAGCGACAAGCCCTCTGGGAAGAGGAAGTTCAAGAGCAAGCACTTGAGTGACACAGACGAGCCCAAGAAGGTAGGAAGTTTAGCAGCATCCATCGCAGAGGCCATAGATCTGGAGTTTCTGTTTCCTGTCAAACAGATCCTTGTTGTGAGATACAGTGTGCCATGATGAGCCTAAAAGCTTGGCTCATGGTGCCCCCTTATGGCGCAAATCTGTACTACAACGTCTTAATTGTTTTTGTGCTCTGGCAGCTGATATCCTCCAGCGCAGGGTGTGAGGCCATTTGTCCTTGCTGTCACACTCCGTCACACATGACTTTCTCATTACCCTGCATTTCTAAAAAAAAAAATCATGCAGCTCAAGACCAAACGTTCCAGCTTGGCCAAGCGCCCTGCCTCTGTGGTAACGAATGACGACAGCCCCAGCGCTAAGAAACCAGCAGGCCTCCTGGCCACCCCTAAGGGCCCGACCTCCCCTCCAGCCAGTAAGAAGGGGACCTCAGGGAGGGGAGGGGCACCAGAGTCTCCCCCTAGCAGACCTGTTCCTCCAGAGGTTCGCCGGCTCATTGTCAACAAGAATGCCGGGGAGACTCTGCTACAAAGAGCTGCCCGATTGGGCTACCAGGTACTGCTCTACTGCTCCACCCAATCACCTTCCTGCATTCATACTCAGCGCTTTTCCCCCTGCCATTACTCAGGTGTGGTGGGCCTCATACCCCATACCAGACCCTAACCCCAAACAGATGTTTCAGTTTATCAAACATGAATGACATTACATTTACATTTTAGTCATTTAGCAGACCCTCTTATCCAGAGCGACTTACAGTTAATGCATTCATCTTAAGATAGCTAAGTAGCTAAATGTTTCCTCATTAAAGTAGTTATCAGCAAAGTCATGGCTAGTAGGAAAAGTTCAAGTGATGTTTTGTTCTATTTGTTTTGGTGTATGGTGTTAAACCCCTGCTGTCTGTCCATCCCTCCTGCAGGACGTGGTGCACTACTGTCTGGAGAAGGATGTGCGGGAGGTCAATCGGCGTGACAATGCAGGTTACACGGCTCTCCATGAGGCGTGCTCTCGAGGCTGGAGCCATATCGTCCAGGTGCTGCTGAAGTACGGTGCCGACGTCAACTGCAGCGCCCAGGACGGAACACGGTGGGCTTCTAGGCACTACTGAACACTTAATGAGAGCTCAGACTTAATTATATTGTTTGCCATACACTCCTGAGTTGAAGGGTTATGCCTGCAATAAATCGCTTTCTGGGCTTTATCTGTTGCATAAAATATAACATTCAAGCTTGGCTTATATGAGATCCGTTGAAATGTATGTTAGTGGAAGAAGTGAAAAGTAACACATTTGTGCTATTGTATTTTGTCAGGCCCATCCATGACGCAGTAGCCAGTGATAACCTGCCTGTGGTGTGGATGCTGCTGAACCACGGGGCAGACCCCACCCTGACCACCTACTCTGGACAGACAGTGGTCAAACTGGCCCAGAGCCCCAGCATGAAGACCTTCCTCAAAGGTACTCTAACCTGTCATCTCCTTCACCTTTGACCTCTGTGACAGACATCACGCAACGTTGTCCATTGTCACAGGTCACTAGCATTGTCATTGGAGGATTGCTCATTTTGTTGATCTTATTGTCATTCATGTCAGTGCCTGATGCTGTTTGATGTTTCCTGCTTTACACCAGAAAACATTAGTATTGATCAGTCTGTCCTGTTCAGAAAGTCACAGGGTAGTGTTTGGTGGCGTTTTAAATCTGACCCTGGATGTGCTTTGTTTCAGAATACTTCACAGACCTGGAGGGGAGAAGTGACCAGGACCCCAGTCTGCCATGGGACTTCTACAGCAGCTCTGTGTTTGGTAAGAAACCTTAGTTTGATTGGTTTATTTTCCTCACCATTGACCTCTGCATCCACTGCCATGTATCCACTGTTATCAGTGTTATGACTTGTATATGTCATGATTAGAATGCATAGTGTGGTTGTTAGGAACAGAACAGTCCACTAGGGGAGCCTTAAGCCCATGGTCAAACAAGAGGCGTTTAGTCCTCAGAACAAAGGTGAAGCGAGTTCTCCCGGCCATCCTGAGCTTACTTCACTAAATGTTTTTTCAGAGACTGGCCAGGAGGCATGCTGGGACTTCCTGCTCTCGCAGCGGGAGGAGGAGGAGAGAGACTTGAGGAAGGAGAGAGACTCCGATAGGGACTGTCTCCTGTTTGAATTTTCCTCTGAGCCCCTCTTACCCTGCTACCATGTCCAAGTGTCGTTAACCCAGGGGTGAGTCAACACCAAAGCAGAAAATCACCTGTCAACACACTCATTCACACACACAGTCCCAGCTTTTCCACCCATATTCTAGTGCTTTTGTGTCTGCTTGTCATTTTAAAACCAGAAGCACCTTTTGAAATTCTTGCAACCGCTCTTGTTGGATAGGCTCAGCTAGTTCTAATATCAACCATGTGTTTGTCCCTGACAGCTTTTGCAATTGGTTCCTGTTGACGGCTGTTCTGAAGCGGCTTAAGATGTCGTCCCGGATATTCGGGGCGCGGTACCCGCACTTGGAGGTGGTGAGCCTGGCGCGGACTGAGCTGTGGAGGCAGGTGTCGGTCAGCCAGGTGAGCACAGCCTCTGCACAGCCTCAGGGGGAGGAAGAGGAGGAGGACAGGGATGAGGGGGAGGGGCCAGTGGAGCTGGTCCGCTGTGTACCGGAGCTCCAGGGACTGCTGGGTTCCTCCATTCACATCCTACAGGAGGACGAGGGGGAGGAGGAAGGGGACAGGACGGATACAGCCACGCCCTGCAGCCGGTAGCCCACCCTCCTCTCACTCTCAGCCCCTCACACATCCAAACTGTTCCCCTACACGTCCCCAGTGTCTCAACCTAACCTCCCCGCGAGCAGCAGATCAAAGTAAACAATGTCTGGAGGCGCCGTCGTAACGGTAGTTGTGGCCAAACTCTGGCCACGACACTGGGAAGAACACACCTCACTAATGACCTGGGACCTCCACATTGAGGAGAAATGGGGGTCACAGCAGCGCCACGTCGTGGATGGGTGCTCAGTGCTGGAGGGCAGCTTTCAGGTTCCAATCTGTAGGTATATTTCAGAATCCAAGAAAAAATCAGAAAACCCCTTTTTTTATTATTCTATATGTATATGGTAATATATGTATATCTTGCCACCAGGGTGAAAATATTTGGTTGTAATGTATTCGTGTGGCAAGGGATGGATGATGTTTAGGATTTTTTGTGTGTGGTTTAGTTTGTTAGTTCCTGAGGGAAAGCGAATATTTTTGGGTGGGAGATAATCCAAGGCTTTTATCTTGGTGAACTCTTGCGTGCAGCTAAGAGGCTTACGGCCGGGCCAGGATAGCTAACAGTGTCAGGAAGGCCCTGGGTCCAGATGGTTCCTCCGTTAACCTGGGAGACCCACAGAGAACAGACCACGGACACAGCCACACACACACACATCTGCCCAGCTAACAGAACCATAGAACCACAGTGATCCATTTCATCAATCAAACACACAGCACTCTGACTTTGAGTAGATTTGTTTGACTATTCTTTTGTCTTTCATTTTGCAGTGCACATGATTTCACCAAGTATCTTAGGTCTGTTAACCCGCGGCCTACCTATAGGCTTCTTACCCTCAGATCATGGATTAATTTAGTTGAACTTGAGAATGAATACTTGTTTACAGATCTCAACAGATGGAAAGGTGTCACTGTAGTTTTCTTCACTCTTCCTGCTTCCCCTATGATGGGAGTGAGAATACAATCCTGTGGATGACTTTCAGTAACTGAGAGGAAGTGCCACAAGGTATCTGTGGAGTCCAAGGTCCTCTGGTTAACCCTTCCCTTTTCTGCATAAGACTGACTCACGGAAGGGATTTGATAGGTATCCTTTTACTGCTCCTTGCTCATCCCTCCTCTGTCCTCATTGTGTTACAGACCAACTCCAACGTGCTTTGTGGCGCGTGTGTTTTATTTACACTGTTTGTGCTTAATTTAATAGTTATTAATATATTTGAAAAATTGCTTTGTATGGTTGGTGCTTCATTTGAAATGTATAATTAAGGATCCCTTTATCCTCCCTGAGATTTTTGTTTCCCTTATTGCAAACAGTATTTTAACAAGCAAAAGTACAGTTTTATTGTACTGGTGCTAAGCTAGAATTTGTGTTGACAATCAATGAAGTTTTTGTTTGAAGTTAAAACCAATAAATTATATTTAATTAAGGTGAGGTGACAGAAATGTAAAGAAAGAGTATAATTTAATTACCTATGATGAAGAAAGTGGAATACATCTAGTCTGGAGAAGAGGACAATAATGTACTGCTTGTGTGAGTGCTGTTAAAACAGGTTAACCTTTTATTTGATTATTTTTTATTAAATCAACCAGAATAAAGCATGATTGTGAAGTATTGTTTGTGGGGTATTCATTTTACTCCTCTGAAAGCATAACCAGCTAGCACATTTACTTCCTTGGAAGTTGTGGGAACGTACGTTTTTGGTTTCCCATTGGTTCTGGGAATGAAGCAATACGTTTCCTGACCGGTAAAACTGAACGTTTTTTAAAACGTTCTGAGAACGGAAGTGAAAATGTCACCTGTTCTGGGAATGTTCATTTTTAGGTTGCATGGAGGTTCTGAGAACATTTTACTATGGTTCCCTGAATGTTTTCCTGGGAGGTTTTATTAACACTCTGAGAATGGAAATTATAGGTTATTTGGAGGTTTTTTAATAACTTCCTTAAAACTTACACTGAATGTTTCAATAAGTATTTTAATAACAATGCTATCTTATTTTGGGTTAACTTTTTTGAACTCCAAGCAGAGATAGGTCACATGGAAATTAATTTCCTTAGGCATTATTCATGGAAACATATATTTTTTATTGTAACACAGCATCAGTGAGATTCAGACCTATAATCTTCTGTTCACTATCCATGGAATTAGTCCACTGCGCCACCAAGATGGAGCTAGCATGCAATGTTTTTTTACACATACAAAGCTGTTCATTTTATTCTATTCAAACAGACCCCATTTCAAAGGAAACAAGAGCTCATTAAAATCAGGTGTTGCGAATTTCTGGGCGCGACCAACACACCTGAACACACTTAACAGGATAGAGGCCATTTTGTTGACGCTGAGAACGGAATGTATATGTTTTTAAATAACATTCTTAGAACATTCTCTGTATATGTTTTTAAATAACATTCTTAGAACATTCTCTAAACATTACTAAAGTTTTCTTATGGAAAGTTTTAACGTTCTCAGAACAATTTGAGAACATGGCTTTAAATAGAACCATGAGGAAATGTTACACTGAAGTACTGAAATTCAACACAGAAGAACATTGTTTCTTAACGTTCTCTGAACTATTTGAGAACATTCCCAATATCAAACCAGTTGGAGAACGTTCCTAGAACATTATCAACATTTAAATTAAATTATGTTTGAACTTTAAGGAAACGTTCTGTTAAAGTAATAAATACCAAGAAAATGTGCTGAGAATGTGCCAAGCAACTATCCTGCACCATTCCCAGAAAGTTGTGGGAAGGTTGTATGCGAAGTAACCGTAGGACAACCACGCTCTCACTAAACTCTAAGAAACATATGGTTCTCAGAACGTTATGTGCTATCTGGGTATATTGTATTTTCAGTAAGTTGCTCTGAGCTCATTTTAAGATGAAGCTTACAGCAACCTTTTACATTTTAGACCGTATTGTGTAAGTCTAAAGGCAGACAGATGAATAGGTGTGGTGCGGGGCACACGAATGTTAGCTGGAACTTGGTCATAATCCTCTGACTGGTGATAAATCGACCTCTTGAAGAGGTGTATGTAACCTATCCAATCTTATCATCAGCCTAATACCCATGATGTCCAATAAACCGTTTTTAATAGCCTAAATAGGCCCACTGTAAATTAGATTAACTTCTCTGAAATATTGTACAGAACTTGCACTGTCAAGGAAAATCCATCTTCGTAGGAAATTCAAAGGTACACAGTATGACTCAAACCCCAGCATGGTGCTGTGATAAGGATTTTATGATCTCCACAATAGAGAACTAGTGAAGCAGTCTAGTGCCATAAATCTGTAAACCCAGAGGGATGCAAAGTGTAGAAGCCTACCTGCGTCAATTCACGGCCGTCTTGCTTGCTTGGTGTATCACCACTCATTTTTATTTAACTGTGGGTTTTGTTTTTGCAATTGAAAAGACTTGTATTTACCGCTGCTGATGATGATCATATAATTCTGCATAACATAATAAATGCGTAATTATAGGTCATTTTAGAACACTCTTTGAAAAACGGAGTATCCAAGATCAAGAGTCATCTCTTATGCATTTCTATTATAAAGATAGATTCTCCACCAGATGGCATCGTGTTGACAGAGAAACATGGGGAATTAGTCGCAGTTACAAATGATGGGGTAGTTGTGATCAAGCTATGCGTTGCACAAATATGCCACCTGTGCCAAAGTGGCCAACGCATGAGACATCTATATAGAACAGGGCTCTCCAACCCTGTTCCTTGAAAGCAACGCTCCTGAAGGTTTTCACTCCAACCCCAGTTGTAACTAACCTGTTTCAGATTATCAACCAGCTAGTTATTAGAATTAGGCGTGTTAGATTAGGGTAGTAGCTAAAATCTACAGGACAGTAGCTCTCCAGGAACAGGGTTGGAGAGCCCTGTTATAGAATGATCTATCCTGGGGCTGTCCCAGACAGAGTTGAACTATGTCATTAGTGTAGCATAATGGGAGATCTCTGAGATCAAAAGTATAGGATAGACCCTTCAAACTCAACTCTGGACCTCGAAGCTAGTGCCACTGCATTTTTTCATTGTTCCCCTCTAATCAGGGACTGATTTAGACCTGGGACACCAGATGGGTGCAATTAATTATCAGCTAGAACAGAAAGCCAGCAGCCTCCGGACCTCGTTGGGTAACAGTTGAATACTCCTGGGATAGACCATTGAGACAGTGTTTCTATAAATTAAATGTGTGCCTTCACCTGATCTGTCTTGCTCCTTGCAGAAAGGAAATATTGACATGTCATGTTTGCATGGTATGCTTGGAAGCTTGCAAGTATCAGGGTGCCAGCGGGGTGTAGCTAAAGCTGCCCGTTAAAATCTCCCTGTCATACTGTATGTGTTCCTCTCACTGTATGTGTTCCTCTCACTGTATGTGTTCCTTTCATTGTGTCTCATATTATTATTATTATATTATTATTGTCTCCAAGGGTGCTTTTCCAGACGCTAGGTGCATCTGACAGCCTGGATGTCATCCTGGTTAGGTTTCCAGGGATGTAATACAGGAAATATTGACCTACAACTACGCTATGATAGCATATCTCATGAAGTCATAAAAGGTGTGGGTCACCGAGCAAAAATTACAAGACATGTGAGAAGCTTTTGAAAACCTAGCCCTACATGTATGTCAACACACAGATTCAGTAGCCAGCATGGCTAAAACATGACACACTGACATACCAAAAGAACAAGCCCCTCATTGGGGGGCCCCATTATACATTTTGTACACTTTGCAGCCCCCAAGGTTACTATAGTTCAGCACTTCTGCAGCACTTCTTCTGTACAGTCTGGCAGAGCTAGGGTCAATCAGTTCCTTCTAGATAGCAAGTTCCTTACAGATATTACTGTTCCAAGAGTGAACCCTTAATTGTTATAGGCTAGGGGTACGTACAAGCAATGATATAAAGATGTGTGATAATAATTATATATGCTCAACTGCTTTGAAAATGGTGTTTTCTGTACAATCATACTTTATATATTTACAATATCCATATTGTG